ATATCGTAGAATTCCAGCAGAACCTCTCTGGAATCTCAAGAGAACGGCGATTCCCATGTCCTCATTAGCCTCTGCGGCTCAGAGAAAGTTTTCCAAACAAATCTGGGCTATCACTTTGTCGAAAATCGAAGTGGGGGCTCGAGGGCTTCGAGCTGGCATAGAACAGCACCGTCGCCGCTACCACTGTCCATAACTATGCTGCACTTGAATCAAGTCTCATGATTTGCATAGTATGGAAAAATCTCATTACTTTCCATTACGAGACAATATAAACTCACATAATGCCATTAACTGTTCCGCTACCGCGGACCCACTTCCTCTGCATCTCTAGCCCCCAGCGTGGGACGCAATGAACGTATCACTGTTCCTATTACTGTCGTTAGTTTCCTTTATTAGGTTGTTTGTAAATATATTATACTTTTATAAGTAGGAAAATAAGAACGAAAATACATTCAATGCGTTTCCACGCGTGGGGAGGGGGGTTAGAGATGCAGAAGAGGTGGGTCCACGGTCCCGAAAGGGTCGAGTGGGAAAAACGGACGAACCTTGAGCCTTACTGGCAATACTACGAAACTCCTTCGGTGAAATCGTATATGACTTCCATCGCAATAAATACTGAATACAGCTGAATAGTACATAAGCAATTACAATATTCCTGATGATTTTCGAAAACAGAAAACCCATTACTTTCTGTGACTGGCGGATTTGTGAAATCTGAAACACTGATGGGAAATTGGAGCTAAAATACGCTATAAAAAGAAGCCAGTGAAACAAAGGTTACGATGAGTCATGATAAGGAAACGAACCCACAAAAAAAACGTAGAGGAACACCAAGAAGTGGACGATCAGAAGACGGGTGCCGATCTTCTTTTACTTGAAGAAGATCGGCAAACCTCTGATTCCGTCTAAATGCGATTGCCTGCCAATCTTCTCCAATTCAAGAGAATTTGACAACCGTCTCCGGACAATATAAAGACTTCCGGCCAAGTCTGATGGACATAACAATAGATCAAAAATGAATTCATAAAAAATAGACTGAAGAAAGTGAAATGGAGGAAAAATTGACGCGCACCTCGCGAAGGTGGCCGTTGTTCTCCTGGGAGGCGAAGCGCTCAAGACACCACTGGGTACCAAAATCAATCTGTACAAGAGGTAAGGAATGGGTTACGGGGTTATTAGCTGGGTCGACCAAATTGTGTGGCATGAGGATGGTACTCCAGCGAGTTTTGGTGAGTTTTCGGCCTTATCTTCTGTCTACTAGTGGAAACTTGACTGAAGTTTGTTTCGATCATCGAAAAAACATTCGATTTGATAGTAGCCGTTGTTAGAAGAAAGCCGAAGAGTCCTAATTGCCACGTAAAAGATTTAAAAAGACCTATTTTGATAAAATAAAGACCTAAAGGACCTATTTAAACCGGCTGACTTTCGCGGACCCACGCTGGTGGGCACGTCTAGCGTGGGTCCGCGGAAGTCGACTAACTAAGCTGCCGATCTACTGTTTTTTATTTATTCAGAAAAAACCAACTTCATTATAGGAACCTCGGGTTATTGGCTCATTGAGATACAACCATGAACAAAAGATCGTGGGTGTAGGAGCTATTCAGCACCTCCTAAGCACATTGCTGAGTTCAAATGAAACTGCTTCAAAGAGGAAAATGATGAGTATTTGATGGAAAATAAGCGAAAATGGCAAATCGACGGTTGACGCTTCGGCGATTTCGCTTTTTTCAAAGCCATTCTGTTATTCCTAAGTCTTCCAGATCCTCGGCTCTGCGGATCAACATGGACAATGAATTACTAAGAGGACCTCGATCATCAAAAAAAAAGTGATTTATTGCTGGATGCCGACGTTTGACCTTTTGCGGACGGCGGCTATTGATTGATTTCCGAAAGCGGTGCACAGTTTTCCTTACTTAATGAGAATTTTCTCCTTCAGTTCAGGAGAACACCACAGGTTTTTCGTACTGATCTGGTGAAATAAGATTTTCTCTACACGATCATGCACTTTTTGACCATATGTATCTCTCGTGTGCGAAGAAAACTCCGACTATGAAACATAATTTCATTATCGTCCTTACGACGCTCTATAAGGAGAAATTTAAAAAAACCGAAGATATTATCAGAATCGTCGGGAAATGTGCTATCGAATGAGTATTGGTAAGGTCCAATGAGAAGCGATCCAGACTTTAGTCGAGCAAACAAAGCAAACCAAGTGTAAAACTTGATTGTATTCTCGCTACTAGCACGCCCTAAGAAGGCCCTACCAAAAAAAAAAACAAGCAAAGTGTTGAAATTTCCTAGATTCAAGCTCTCGAGACGCTAGAGGGAAAGTTGCGATCCCATCGATATTTTAAGCCTAAGCCTGAGCCTAAGCCTAAGCCTAAGCCTAAGCTTAAGATTAAGTCTAAGCCTAGATCTGATCTCGTAATTTCTTACTGAAAGAAATCAGTTCAAAAAGTACTTTAAAAACTGAGCGTAGAAAGAGTGTGAGCAAAACGGGCGCCAGTAGTGTAACGGGTCAGAGCACGAGCTCCCGAATAGAGTGAGATGTGGGTTCGAGTCCCGGTTGACGCAGAAGTTTTGCACATCACTCAACATCACTGAGTATATCTATAACATTGTAGCGCTGCTGAAACCGGTTAAATAGAAAAAATTATACTTTAGAAATCGATGGGACTATAGCTCACCGCACAGGACGCTGTCGAACGAATGATTACTAAAACTCTCCCAAGAAGCTCTGTCCAGAGATAAAAGACCTTTGGAAGGTTGAGAGATCACACTGCTCCTCATTTTTCCCCCTCCCCCCTTCCTCTCCACCTTCCCAGGGTAGAGGAAAAGTCGTTCCTACAAACCGGCATCAGAACCCATCCAGAGAAATCCTAAGTATATTGATGAACTCAATCGAACGATTTTGGGAAGAAAAATAGAAAAATCTCCGAAAAATAAGCACAAACCCTAGCCGCAGAGGGAGAGACAGATGGGGGGAGGGGTGAATGGTTCGACTGTCGGCGCGAATGGACTACGCCTCCCCCCCCCCCCCTTCCACCCCCCATTTCAAAATACCGGGACGTCTCGTTGGCTAGTTTATCTGCAATTGCAGACTCGTTTCTCCGAGAGACGCGCATTTGAATCTCCAACATTCGATCGATACTACCCCGGATGGTCTCTTGATCTACGTGATCTACGTCGTTTTCTCTTTTTTTCTGAGAGATCTTTGACCTCTTTGTATTTCGTTTTTCTTCAGTGTGTGCTGCTAACTTACCTGCTTGGACGGTCCGTCTTCACTGCGGACAGTGCAAGCCCCAGCACAGGGAAACTGACCTGGTTTAAGGGGTGTTTTGTTCCCTGGAGTCTCGAGGAATGCCTAGCCGGGGGGCTTCCTCAGCTCATCATCACATTAGAACGGTCGCCGGCCCTTGTAGATCAGGAGGAGATCACCACCATGCGTCCAGCAGCTACCAAGACGGCGGTCATTCCTGCTACGGTTTACTCTTAATTAGGTTTTCCGAACGGAAACGTTGGACTCCTTCTCAGGTTGGCTGGCCCTCTTTGGGCGTTCAACTCCCTGCTGTACTTCGCTCGATCAGACCCCCAGGAACACCTCCCAGTCACGATGACGCGTTAGACCATCTGTTAAACTCGCTGAGAAAAAAGCTGCTAATGACGGCAGTAAAATTGGAGAATATAAGATTTTATGACTTTGCTTTTTTCTGTGATATTTTATCGGGTTTCTTTCCGGTTTACTATTAGTCCAAAAGAAAATGCTCTGTCCGGAGAAGTGTAAAGCGCAAATCCTTTCTTTCTACTACAGCGCTATCAGAGAACTTTTCCTAAAAGCAAGCAAATTTTTGAGTTTCGCGACGCTTATGCTATGGAATGAGTGCTAGCACTCTAGGGAAGGAGTTTTGTCCAGCGAAATGTAAGCGAGATGTGAAACACATTTTATTTTGGATGTTACAGCGTTATAAAAGGGTGTTTTGAAAAACCGATGAGTTGGGGTTGTAGCCATAGATTTAAGCTATCGAATGATTACCAACACTCCTATGAAAAGCTCATATACAGCGTAATATTCTATTTTTCATTTAATATTTTATTGGGTTTTCTTCCGGTTTCCTGATAGTCCAAAAATGCTCTGTCCGGCGAAGTGTAAGCACTAATCCTTTATTTCTCCTACAGCGCTATCAGAGGAGCTTTTCCAAAAAGCTAACACATTTTTGAGTCCTTTGAAACTTGTGCTATCGAATGAGTGCTAGCACTCCAAGGAAGGAGTTTTGTCCAGCGAAATATAAGCGAGATTAGAAAGAAAAACACATGGTCGTGTGAAACACAGTTCTATTTCGGATGTTACAGCCTTATAAAAAGGTATTTTGAAAAACCTATGAGCTGGGGTTGTAGCCAGAGATTTAAGCTATCGAATGATCATCAACACTCCTATGAAAAGCTCATCTACGGCGAATGAGATCGAATATTTACTTGTTGCCGTATAACAGAATAGTACCTTCTATTGTGGTCTTTATTGTTAATATGTATTTTTATTATTACCATATCATTCTAGCGGAATCTCTTTCACTAATATTCCGCCCAAATATTCATAAAATGTCATAAAAATCGTAAATTTCCTATAGACTCGATTCGATCGATTAGCTGCCCTTCTGCTCTTTCCTATCACAAGTTGATTGGGCTCCAAGTGCACACAGTTCGTACTTTCACGCGAGGGGGGGGGGGGGGGGGGAACGGATGGGTGGGGGCGCTATCTGAAGCCATAATACCAGTTGAGAAATAAATCGATACTAGGAAATCTCTCATCTTCCTGGGAGAGTTGCCATGTTTTCGACAGAACTACCCATTTCCCTAAGCGCGGAAGGTACAACGGAATTGTTATTTCCCTATCGTGAATGTGATCTACACTTCAGTGTAATCATCATCATCATAACATAAAAGGCGATGTTCTTGTAGAAATGATGTGGTCTCTAAAGTGGTGATATCAGAAGAGTAGCCCCGATAGTGCAGTGGTTCAATGAGCATGAGTCTCCTGGAGAGGGCTAGACGCGCGGGTTCAATTCCCGCCTGATTCAAAGATTGAATGTAGATCAATATTACTCGATCAATTATTTAACGATTTTCTTCTATCTTCACAAGTAGTCGTTGAGCCAAATTTTTCACGCAGAAGCGAATTGATGGAATTAGAGATTAGAGATGTTGCTCAACATCTAAGATTAAGTCTGTCGTCGGCGTCGGTCAGCTTCTTCATCTTCTGTCTTGTTATATAATTATCTCTTCATATTATCATGTATTGATTGCATCGTTCTTGTTCTTATGTTAATAATAATTTTACATATTCGATAAGATTGAAAAAAATACAAGAATCGCGTGTTGCGCAGTGGTTAAAGGTGCGCTGCGTCGCACACAATGTCGATGGTTCGATCTCGCGCTCATGGCTCACCAAGCCATCCATCCCTCCGGGGTCGGTAAATTCGTACCAGACAGGTCTCAGGCTTGCCTGGGAGGATAAGCAGCACTGACTCTGTTCAGCGAGAGGCCACCGCGAGTCATTGTAAAGGCCAGATATGCATTCAATCACCTCAAACGAAGTTAAAGTTGAAGACAAATGCATGGCGCATCCCTCAGGGATTGATCAACGCCGACAGCTTAATCCTGTATCCTTTATCACAGGCAATCGTTTTATCTGGAGCGCGGAAGAATATTTCCCAATTGCTTAACAAAATATCGATCGCTCTGCCTCGTCTTGCTCCTGCCAAGCCTCCTGACGGCCCTCGCCTTATCGAATAGCAGGTAAACAGCGTTGCCACAAATGGAAAACTCGATCTTCTTTTCCCTGCTAAACCGTATTTCCAGAAAATAAGCACATCGCTAGAATTAGGAGACATTACACTATCAGATGACTACTAATTGTCTAAAGAAAAATCTCTGTCCGGTGAGGTTTGAAGCGCAATTCAATAGACCCGAGAAGATCAGAAGATTAAGGGAGCATTTTTGAAAGGGAACACATTTTTGAGTCCTATGAAGCTTGTGCTATGGCTTGAGTACTAGTACTGTGGGGAAGGAGTTTTGCCTAGCGAAATATAAGCAAGATAAGAGAAAAAAAACACGTGATTTCATGAAACGTGATCTTATTTTGAATGTTACAGCGTTATAAAGGGGTATTTTGAAAAACTGGGGACGTGGGGCTGTAGCCTCAAGTCTCATCTTTCGAATGGCTACTAACATTTTTTGAGAATTTTTTCCTTCAGAGAATGAGATTGGTTTTTCATTTGTCCTCTCCCAATCAGAAAACACCATGTGTCGATATATACCACTGAACATTATTGGGTACAATTGTAAAACCATATCACTGCTAAAAGCGGTCAAATGAAGGAATCTTGTTGATTCATATCTTTATTTCTTATTTGTTTATGTTTTTTTTATCTCACTTGGAATAATAATTCTGCTAGATTATGTTGGATTAATAGGTTAATTAGTATATAATATGTTAATTAGTATTTAACATATTAAATTTTTGAGCGATTTTTCAAAATAGTCGATTGAAAGTGCTGATATAAACATGGTGGCGTAAGACGTAAGCCAAGCACACGAGAATAGTTAATCAATCACTTTGAAAGAACATCACTTTCTGTGGTCTTTTCACTTTACACATAGTGTAACATGTTCGGCGTCGATTCCTTATAAAAGGGGCGAGTAAGCGAAGGTCACGTGCTACTCGTGAGCCTAGCTAGAAGCCGAAACGTACTTCTAGCACTAGATGTGCTATAGGAGATCACATGAAAGATCTGAATCATTCTACCAGACTACACTGAGTTTTTAGACGAGGGTCTCCAATTAGTAGATTGCGAGTTTACGATGATAATTCTTGTATTTCGTGGTGATATTGATTCCTTCACAGATCATCTTATGATCTACTCGTCTTCAGGGTGGTCGTGCCGACGAACAGAACAGCTCTGACTTGGGCTAAGTGACCATGAAACTAGTGGAGAATTGCGCTTTGTTGTTGTGAATCAGATTGTTTTCGGTTCTCCACTATGTCACTTCATGATAGGCGGCATCGATTGAGCATATTTTGCTGGCATTTTTTGAAATTTCTTTTTGTTTATTGATTTCTATCATCATTATTTTTTACTAAATTTGATCCCTGTCAGGTGCCATTTTGATCTGCAATCTTTTCGGCTTTCTGTTATTCGAAAAAAAAAACGAATAAAGCTTCCAGCATTGGCATTTATCCTTGAGGGATGTGCCAAGGATTCGTCGCACCGATTTACCGACCATGGAGGAATCGAAGGCTTGGTGAACAATGAGCGCGAAATCGAACCGTCAACCTTGTATCGGAGGCAGAGCACCTTTAACCAATGCGCCACATACGCTTTTTATTATAATTCTATCTAATGTTTCGTTTCATTTCATTTCGTCCTTATGTTATCACTTGTTTTTCCGCTCTTGATTATACCTTTATTTCGAGTGCTTTATTAAGACCACGCTCAAATCTCAATAAATCCATTATTGTTTGAGCCAACTTGTCATGTGGTCTGGTAAGAGCTCTTGTAGAGCCCGATACACGTGTTTCGTCCTTACAGACTCGTCAGTCGAGCAGAACTCGTCGTCTTCGATCTTTTTATAGTCAGTTCTCTCGAGAGCCCTACTCTACCTACAGAGAGTTATCGAAAACGAATTTTAACACTCTATGTCAAGTGAAATTTTCACCTAACACAAAGCGTTTGCGCACTCGGTTGCTCTTTGGCTGGTATTTTAATCATATTATGCCTTTATTTTCGAGTGCTCAGCTGTTATTTATTCTTTTTATTTATCTTGTCTGATTCAATCGTTTGACTTTTTACTTACTTAGACTTATTCCTTGTGCATCTTAGAGTATCTATCATTTCCAATTCTTGCGGACCATCAATATCGACATTTTCGAAGAGAATTAAAATATATTATATCTTCTGATTTCTTATAGATATATGATAGCCGTATTTATTCTGTTCCGATTAGATCATAGATATCAAGCCAGAACGATCCACTCATGTAATTAAAATTATCAAGGAATGTCTGGCCCTAAACCTAAACTTTTGTGACTATAGAGAGTAGAAGTATTTCCAAAGGAAAACGTGCATCCTGAAAAAGAGGTCCCACCCAGCTCCAATAAATTCGTAGTCCTTATTAATCGGTTGACTGGCGTATCCACCAGCGTGGGTCCGTGGAAGTCAATTGTCAAAAAATGTGTGGTCAGCTTGGGGTTTGTCGGTGATTAAGCCATTAGGCGTACCGTTACTGAACACTATAATTTCGTCTTACAGGAGTAGAGGGAGAGGGAAGAGTGACTTGAGCCCATCTCAGATTGGTAAGGAATGAAAGCAGTGCTAATAAAATGGTATCAGCGGTACTATAAGAATAATTTCATTGGCAAAGAGGGGAGAAGGCGCGGTACTAGTTATTGGATGGTTATCAAGTGAAACCTCCCAGATGGTTGATCACCTCATCGCGCCTGGACGGTGTTCCGGGTGTTAGACTGCTAAGTACAGTGAGGGGATCACCCCTGCCCCCAGCAGGGCCACGTTAGCTGAGGAGTCCGACGTTCCCAGCAGGAAGGACCAAAGCTAATAGCAATAAGGTGGTAATCTCCCTCTGACCCTAAAGGGCCTGAAACTGCTCTAATGTGGTGACGATCTGAGGAAGCCCTGGCTAGACTTATCTCGGGACTCTAGGGAAGTCAACAGCTAAACCATCACAGTTTCATTATGCTGGGGCCCGCAGCATCAGTGATGATGGGCGGTCCAAGTATATAAGTGAGTGTCAAGTTAAAAGTGGTGGAGAAACTATAGACTGTAGAGAAACAAAATTAGAAAGGTTTTGGCTCGAAATCCCGAATTGAACGGGTTTCGTCGGGTCGGGGAGGGGAGGAGCTTCACCAGAAGTATCGTGTTCGAACTTGAATAAAGCCGTATCATCGGTGGATAACGCCGCGTTCCACGTTTGCCGTGTTGATTTATTCGTTCGTGATTGCTCTGGTCACGTATATATCACCATCACTCTTATATCAGAAGTATAGTTCAGTTGCTGGTGAGAGAGATCCGATAGCGATCGGTTGGACTTCGGCAGCAGCGCCCATTGATATACATCATCATGCCATCGACTATTCGAAATGGAAAGAGATCGAAGTGTCCGACGATGAAGACGACACTCATCCGAACATCGACACCCCGTCATTGTTCAGGTAAGTAATAAGACCTTTCAATTGACTAAGTTAAGACCTCGCTCAAAAATTCAGTATAGTCAGATTCGAAGAGCTTAAGCCTTTCGCGAGGTCTGCTATGGCATCCCGGTGTATAGCACGTTTTGGCATTCTCGCACACCTCATCAAGACCAAATGTACCTATGGCTCAGCCCTGACATTATTAGCAGTTGGCACTGAAGGAGTTGCACTCTACGTCAGGTGAAAGGATCGCTGATGCTGCATTATCTTAGAGTGATTGATTGTTGACTACATGGCTTACGGCTGTTAACAAGCATATTAGACTACTGAGTTTTTGAGCGAGGTCTCAAAATATCGATTGGAAGCTATCGTTTTATGCTTCCATAGCATCCGTAAGTCGTGCAATAGGCAATCACTCTAAAAGAAAGCAGAATCAAATGGTCTTTTCACTTGACGTAGAGTGTAGCTTCTTTGGTGCCGATTGCTAATGATAATCGGGGGTGAGCCGTAGGGAATGTGGTACTGATGAGGCGTGCGAAAACGCCGAAACGTACGTGTACCACTGGGAATGTCATACTAAATCTCTCAAAGACTTGAAACATTCCATTAGAATATATTCAGGTGTTTCCGGAGACGGAAATATACTGTCACGAGAGTAGTACAAATCTCCAAAGTAGCACACGATAACAGTGTCGTATTGTTATCCTGCTTTTCGTATCTATCTCTTTTCAACCAAAGAACATTTTAAATTTTTTTTTGGGGGGAGGGGGGCGAGGTAGCGCAGTGGTCGGTTATGCGGTGTATCCGGAAGCAACGCGATAGCTCGGTCTTCTCTCTCAGCACTCTTGTGGAATCAGTCAACGAACGCCTCAG